GATACCGATATGGTGGCCGATATATCGTGCATCCCTACTTTTATCGCATGTCGCAGCGTCATGTCGTGGTGCGTCACATGTAGTTAGGACACGGTGTAAGACTTGTCATCTTCTGAACACAAATTGAAGGTATTATTAATGAATCCTGACAGATATCTGAAAAGTCCGTCATAAACGCATTAAGCCATAAAGACATCATAAATGTAACCCATGTAATATGAGCAGTTTAATCAAAGTTATCGGAAGAGACATCATTGCTTTAAATGGTAAACATTTAATTTAGGCTTTTATCCACATATCAACACGCATAAATAGAGCACATCAAATATGGTCAATAGAAGCTCAACCATGGTTGTTTGAAGCTTAAGAAGCATAAGTATGACTGAACTTCTGTTTACCATGTGTTGATCAATGTTCTCGCTCAGTGAAGTCTTTAAAAGGTTAATGGTGATTTTTTTTTTCTTCAAATATGAAAATGCTTGCATGAATTTCTAACATATATATAAGAATGTAAATTGCTGGTTATGCGCCGGGTGAAAACACCTTAAGAACATGAAACCACACACACCTGACAAGGCAGCACCAGTGAAACTGTTTTCATGACAGTGTTTAATAATGTGTTTTTATGCGTAAGACATGGAAATGTGCTTTGCTCCATTGTAAAGTCATGTCACAGATTATCCGCACAAACTAATTAATCAGTAATGTAATTCTTAATTGGTTATTAATATCAAATAGTTGTTACAGACTTAGTAACATTGCTGCTTTTAGTTTGTTACTCCCCAGCACTGAACTTTAAATACCTAAGTATACTTACGCCAGGTCCATCCTTAGCTGAGGCGGGGCCCGGTGCAAAGTGGGGAGCGGAGCCCCCTCGGTCCGTTCGCGATCGCGTTTATCTCCCCCTCGGTCCTCGGTTATTTTTTTATTGCCCATAACATCTGGAGAGAAATAGTGCAGATACTAGACAAGGATGAATCTTTGACAGGCATGTGTTCATGCACGCCATTAGAGTATACTTCGAAATGCTATTCACTTGATTGTACGCATATTGCAAGTGTTTGCGTCAAAGCTGAAGTGAACTTTGCGCTTTAGACGATTTAATACTACAATTTGCTTGCTTTTTAACCACCTTTTTTCACTACTGTAAAGTGTTTTCAAAGTCAAAGGTTCTCCATTTTCAGCACAAAGACCCTAGTAATTAGTAATGAAATTCATTATTAGTTGTTATTGATTGGTCGTTACCGAACTAATAACTTTGTTTGCTTTTCAGTAGTAATTTCCCAACACTGAAATGTACTATGTGCTGGAAGCTGTTCAGCTGAACAATCAGACGACCGGCCGCAGTGGCTATCTCATTACATTATGCCTTATAGAACGTTTGTTATTCTGCTTTTAAAAGGCTTGAAGTCAATAAGAGTCTTTTGGCTTTCTTTCATGGCCTTTGTTCGATGTGCCAAATGGATTTCTGTTAGTGGTGCTGCTTTGGCTAGCTGCTCGCTAGTATTGCTGCCAAACCCTTCAGCATAGTGCAGGAGTACTCCGTCATAAGCCAGATGTGAGCAGCTTGGAGAACAACAGTCAGAGAAAATCCCTGATTAACTAACGCTGAACTTGTATGTGCAGCAGCCATTGAGTGCATTTTCTTTTTGTCTGTAGAATGGGGCAGCACAAAGACGGGCGAGCAGGAGGAGTTAATGAGCACGGCGCTGAACTGTGTGGTCAGGGTGCCACAGTACCTGCCGCAGGAGCGGAGGTTCGATATCAGAGTCCTGGTGAGTACACAGCTCTACTAATATCACTCAGTGTTGGTATACATTCAGTGGGGACCAGCAGTGTCCGCTAGGAGTTCCTGAGTGCTTTCGAACTACATTACAAATTGAAATTTCATACTGTAATCGCATTTGTAATAGGGCTGTTTGTTATAAATCAAATATTTACAATGTTTTTTTTGATGATGATTATAAAAAATGTGTGTTAATTGTAATGCATCATTACACTTCTTCCATATGGACAAATTAATTAGTTAAAAAATTTTAATGATTTCCCATAAAATGCTTTAAAAATTTGTAAAACACCACATATGCATTTTTTTTGGCGAATATTGTTAGAATGCAAACAAATGGCAGATTAATTGGTTTGCATTACAAACGTTCACAAAATTATTTGGTTGTCATTTTTCAAGTTTTTAAAGAATTTTAGTACAGCATATATGGAGATAATCTATGTATTCTGTTTATTGAGGGGCTGTGAATAATGACTTTTTTAAAACTAATTAATCGTACAGGTTTATGTGGTTTATTACGATTAATTGCACCTCCACAAATTAGTTTATAATCAACATAAAGATATTTTAAATAAGTTTTAAAGTACTATCAAGGCTGTATTGCCAATACCAGTACCTCTGTTAAATGCATTTTCTTTCTTCAGATTTTGAGGATAAAGTGTCTAAATATAACCATTCAACAATACATTTGACTAATGTTAGCATGCTAACAATAAGCCAACTGCAAAAGATCAGACTACTGTTTTTCTTTATAATTTACAACAATAATAGAACATGATCAGCCTTGTAGATTAAATAAACTTACTGTAATCGTCCCATAAACCCATTATAATAAATTTCTCATTTAGCTTTGCCTTCATTTATGGGAAATAACCCCATATGTTTCTGTGTCATTACTTAATCTGATTTCTTGTTTCTTGTGCTACCTCAAAGCTTCATAACATTTGCGAACAGTGCTCAAATAGCATCAGCATAATGACATAGGAAGTCAAGTCACCTTTATTTATATAGCACTTTTAACAATACAGANGATTGTATCAAAGCAACTGTACAGCATTAATTAGGAAAATAGTGTAGGAAGTAGGGGGAAGTTGAGACTGTAAATTGATAATTATTTTTAATGTGTCAAACTGATCTCATTCTTTTGTGTATTTAGTGAAAAAATACAGAAAACATGCTTTGATTAAATTTAAGAAATGTTTAACTAGTTTTTATAAATATTCATTATTTTTGAGTGGTTTCATTTATATCATTTACACATCTAAAAAAACAAGTTGAAAATATTTTTTATCCTATCCTACTTTTTGTTTGTGCAAACCAGTTGTGTGAGACATTACTATCAAAGTGAAACCATGCTTTCTGTCTGTGTTGTGGTTCCTGTTGATCTAAATGAGGTGTTTTTCATTGTATTTGTGTGTGTTTTAGGGTCTGGGCTTGCTCATTAATCTGGTGGAGTACAGCGCGAGGAACAGACACTGTCTAGTTGAGCTGCAGATGGAGGGAGGTGAAGTCTGGGACTCCATGTGTGTGTCTGACAAAGATGAGTTGCAGACTGAGAGATCTCTCAGCGCCATTGCTGCTCTGGTGAAGGTATACAAACACACACACACAGAAAAACAACTGCTGCATGGCCGCACTTACAGAAAACAGGTCCTAGTATTATTACACCTGTTATTAAGGTCTTGGTGTGATCACAAGTGGCCACTCAAAACACATCACGGTTTACACCTGGTAGTTAGATGTGTCTGAATTGTAGACCACTAGTTATCAGATTTTGTTAAGGAAGTTCTCAGATTCCATGTCTATCACTGTTAGTGCATGTTGATAATGCATCAATGCATGGTGTACATAAGTAATTACTAAGCACTGCTGTACAAATTTTTGCTAAAGATGATCATTAATGCGTCTGCATGTGCAATATAAAGATTTCAGTGATTCTCAATAATTTGAATCTTTTGAGTATGTCCACCAAAATTATTTTCCATCATTGATTGGGTCACAAGCAAAACACTCGTAATTACTTTCTCTCCGTTTCTGCTTTATAGTTTTTTCTTCAGAGAGAGCATGCAGCCATGTTAGCGGAGGCGGAGACGGATGACTTCATCAACGATCCGCCAAAGTCCCAATTGGACCAGAGTGGAGAATGGAAGGAGACCAATGAAGAGATCCAGTGGGTCGCTTCAGAAAACAACAGCACAGAGGACAAGAAGAAGGGAGAGGAGGATGAAGAACTTGACCTCAACAAAGGTAGACATTACACCCAGGGACTAGACAAATGCAAATTGTTTTTTGGCACGGCAGTTAATTTTGCTTAATGTACAGTCCACTTTGGTGGGCAACTAATCTCAGTTTGGAGACCCAATGAAAGAACACAGCAACACACTGTTGTTCAAGTAGCCTATTTGATTAGAATTGGAGGAACTTGGCCGATCTTCAGGGCCACTCATGTGTACATGCATGTTAGAGGTTTCTGAGAATATAATTGTTTGTAA